CATTCCTGCACCGGACGAGGCAGAGGCAGCGAGCGCTTGAACAAAAATGGAGCGTTGCAGGCGCCAGAGCAGCTTGCAGGCTTTCAGTTTTCCGAGTACCCTGAGATGCACATGCAAGATGCTCGAGAAATATTTTTCTGAGTCCTTCTCCAAATAATGCTCAGCTGATGAGCGCATGCCACTCTTCATCATGCTGTTTTTGATGCAGGGCTTGTGTTTTGCAGACAATGAGTGGAAATGAGGACGACTGGCTGGCTCTCAAACCCCAGGAACCTTCTCCATCCCAGTGCTGCGGCAGCGGCTGCAAACCCTGCATCTATGATGTGTATGAGAAGGAGCTTGCACAATGGGAAAGGGCCAAAGCAAAGCAAGACAAAAACCTCCTCATGGAAAAGAAGGAGCAGGTCAATTTATCTTTATCACATCCTAGAGCCAGTGCTTTGATCCTACTTGTTAGCGGGTGGGGTTGTGGTGACAGGCGAGGGATGCAGCGATAGATTAAAGCGGTGCCTTAAGAGAAGGCTGTAAATGCAATTCCCCAAACTGCCTTCACAGCCACCCTCCCCCTTGCATGCTCTCTTCCCTGCTGTAATGTGATTTTCCAAGTGTGGAGTTTGCCCTGGTGTCACGTTACAGCCCTGGTCTGCAGCTGCTTCTTGCTGGGGTACCCCCGGCAGCCAGAGACTGCCTCTCTGGAAAGTGGGAGTGGGTAAAAGGTACAAAGAATCACCATTTTCTCCAATAGTTTCTTCAGAGAAGCTCAGTTTTCCTGACCTTTTTAATCTTTGCTGGTTTTTTTAGACTCATATTTTGAGGTTGAAAAAAGCTGCGTTGTGTGTGGTGAAGTAGTTGTCTTCAGAGCGTTATTATAAGCTAGCCGTGGCCCTTCTACATAAGATTAACTATGCTGGGTCAAGCAAAAACGATTGGTGGTGGAACAGCGGACAGTATTTCCTATTCGCAGTGGTCATCAGTAGGTTTCAGAGTTGCCCCCAAAGCAGCACTTGGCTCTTTTAGCAGTATCACTTTTGTTTGTTTCCAGACATGAGAAAATGATGGTGGTGAGTCATAGCAGGATGACCTTGCTGGAAGGTGTAAAAATGTAATTTAAAAAGGGAGGGAGAAAATGTAAGATCCCAAAGTGCATGCTGCAGAACATGATAATGAATCAGCAGAGAGCTGAAATTTGCGCTGCACCCCAGCATTTAACACGCGCTCTTCTGAGTACTGAGTATCTCCAGCGCTAAATTAGCACATGCGTTTGCTTCCAAAGAAAAATGAAATAATAAAAGGCGCCATCAAACCAAGTAATTATTTATTGTTGTTCTTGCAGAGCAATAATTCAGAACTGAATCCAGATACATTTACTGCATTCAGCATAAGCTCGGTGGAGCAGCTAACAGAGGACACCTACCAGTACAAATTTGAATTACCAGGAAACAGCAGTCTGCGATTGAGTTTAGGACAACATATCGTGTTAAGGTATTGTTCCTTGTGCTAGTTAAACAGTCTGCATTATGCAACCTAATACGTAGGTTTTTGTCCATAGATAAAGGCTTCACACGAGGCAAATCATAATTTCTATACCTCCACAGTGACACAGATGAAAGAACTTGTGAGCTCGTTAGCTCTATTAATTTCATGGTAAAAGCTATTCCAAAGCTGTGCATTTTTCTTCAGCATTATCCTCGTGTCAGTGGGTCAGAAAAAACTAGGTATGATTAAGAAAATCCATCTGCGGAAAGAAAGAGGCAGAGAGTAGATGTGAAAACAGATTATTTACTCCAGCATGTTGGAATGAAGACAATGAGCTGCACTTACCCCACAGCTCAGTATTTTAGGCCTGATATCTTGGGGTAACTGAGCACCTGGGGTTAACCCCTAGTGTCCAGGCATTTCCTGACTGATTTCTAGCAAAACAACCCTCCTATGTAGTTTATTGCTTGCCAGAAAGAGGCCACTTGGGAGAAGTTTATGTCTCGGCCATCTGTGGTGATCATTGCCAGATAGAAAAAGTCGTGTTATGATGCCATTGATCTGTATCTGTTGTCGTTATTTGTATGTTAGCAGCTGATGTGTACAGCTGGCTGTTGAAAGCACGTGCTTCTCCCCTCAGCCATCCCTCATAACACAGCAGAGGGAAAGGTTTGGTCACTTCCATCAGTTTTGGTAGTAAAGAGCAGGGTGGATATATTACAGAATCCCAGAACGTTGGGGATTGGAAGGGACCTCAAAAGCTCATCCAGTCCAATCCCCCTGCCGGAGCAGGAACACCCAGATGAGGTTACACAGGAAGGCGTCCAGGCAGGTTTTGAATGTCTGCAGAGAAGGAGACTCCACAACCTCTCTGGGCAGCCTGGGCCAGGGCTCTGTCACCCTCACTGAGAAGAAGTTTCTTCTCCGATTTCAGTGGAACCTCCTGTGTTCCAGTTTGTGTCCGTTCACATATTCTTTCTTTCCATATTCTTTTCTTTCTTTCCATGTTCTATGGAAAAGAGGAAACTTTCTATGGAAAGAGGAGACTTACAGGAAAATATGGTGTATATTGACAAGACCTCAGGTCAAAGCTATGCCCTAACTTTCATTATTTAATTACCAGACACTGTCAGAGCACGAAGGGAAAGCAGTCCCCTGCCCCAAAGGGACAGCAAACTTGCCATGGAAGCATTTTCTCTCCCCTTTGCCACTCTCATATGTTCAGCCATTTCTTACAAAACATCTCAAACACCTTTCCAGGGATGTGTCCAAGAGCTGAATGTGGGGTACAACTGGGAAAACAAAAGATGCCTTTAGCCATTATGTTCCCCCTGGATTTTTACCTCTGGAAGGGAAATGTTTTGCATCTGTGCATAGGCTGGGCCATGGGGAAGAGGACCTGCTGCCTCCCTCATCTCTGCAGAGGTTGAGTAGTACCAGTCAGCGAGCCAAGTCACAGTGAGTTCCTGTATTTCTCTCCTCAGAGGAGTGGTGAATGGCTTGGAGGTCCAGCGAGCCTATACTCCCATTAGCCCAGGGAATGCAGAAGGTTACTTCGATGTTTTAATGAAAGTAAGTAAGCCTGTACAATGTGGATTGGAGTCTGTGTTTTCTGTAGGAACTGAGCGTGCTGTCAGCACTTCAAGTGAGACTCTCAAATCCCTCATGGACTGTTTCTGTTGTTTTGAAGCAGTTGTGCTTTGCTGATAAAAACTGCAGTTTTTCCGCACAAAACTGAGAACGGAGGAAGGTGGCACACAAACAAGTGCTTTGCAGCATAAGCTGTGTTAAGCACTTGGGAGGGCCTCTCAGGAGCCCTGCAGTCACCAGCATGGAAAGAGGTGCCCATTCCACTTCCTTGATTTCATTTTGCCTTTTCAGTCTGCTTTGAAATCACACCCAGTTGTCAGGCCAGTCGAACCACTGATTTTGGGGAGTCTTTGCCCATTCATTACCTTCCCTTCTGTATTTTTCTTTAAGAACTCTCCTTGAAAAAAATTTCATTTTATTTAAAAATGTAGGTGGGGAATAGCCAACTGTTCTGCTCTGCAGGCAATGCTTTGGAGCTGCCTGCAGTCTGAGGGTCCCCATGGCCCATGGGGCAGAGAGGTTGCCCACGGGCACGGGCTGCACCTATCAAGGTGTCTGGGGTGGCAAAGCCCCATTTAGGATCAGTGTCCTAGCCCTTCTGGAGGCCACCACAAAGTGCTGGTTGAGTTCAGAAGCATTTTATAGGAGAACTTGGCTGGAAATTTGTCTGAATAAGGTCTGCAGGGCCCTCATAAATGATTACATTGTGTGGAGAGTATCCAATGGAAGATTTTTTCCCAATACTGCATTTGTGTGACACAGGTGACTCCTCAGGGCAAACACAGACTTCAGTCAAGGTGTGAAATCCAGAGTGCTGGGTGTCCCAAGTGGCTTGCAGAGAACGACCACTTGTCCTCTCCCTGTCTCCCAGGATTTTGCATTTTGGGGTTTATTATGCATTGTGTGTTTGAATGCAAACCCTGTTCTTTAGGAAAGTGCACGGTTTCTATAGGGCACCTGTGGGAGGGTCATTTCACCATTCTTGTGGCAATTGGTGTGTGGTAGGGGAGAAAAATGTTGCATTTGAGTTGCATTAATAGGAGATGCGTTCACAGGACGACTGTGAAATTTCATATATACTTGCTTATTACTCACAGGTTTTGCATTTCAATAATAATAGTAATGATTGTAATGATACCTTTCCTTTACATGCAACCTTTCATCCCAAAGGGAGCTCTAGTTATTCTCTGGCAGTGACAAAAGAGGTTGGTAACGCCTGGTATAAAGCAGCCATTTTTATAACTCACTCTGTAGGTTGTGGTATATTTCACACTATTCAGGCAATTTTGGAAAGTACTATATTATTATTATTACTATGCAATCCAAGCACTGTTCAAACCCTTCTGTCTCCTGTTATTATAGCATTGCATTTGTGATACTACAGTTAAGAATGAGGGACTTGCCATTTACAGAGCATAACCCTCTTTTTTGAGTGATTTTATAATGTTAGGGTTTCTCTCTGTGTAAAACTGGGTGTAGAAGTTCTCCTCCAGGAGACAATTATTTTTTTCTTTTTATTTAGAAAAATTCATTTTAAACCCACGCAATCACTTCTTACTTCAATTTTTTGGGAATAATTTTGGTGAAAGAAGGATCGTCTTAGTTTCCATTACCCGGATCCATTGGGAATAAGCAGGGAGCGGGGCTGACTTTTCTGCTCTTGCCTTGGGTTTCCGTATACATTTGAAGAAGGCAGCTATAAAATACTGCTCCTCTGATGCAACTGCACGCTCTTTGCATGAGACTTAGGACGTGCCCAGAGCTTTCTGATCGCAAAATGTTTCTGACACTAACTCAGAGCCTGGGTGCGTGTTATGCATTTACCTTTCGAATGTAACGACGGGTGCTAGCACTTCGTAATGCTTCAGGTATCTTGTTTAAGGGAGGTTGTTAGGAGGGGAGGAGCATCCGCGTGCTGTATTAGCTAGGGCTGCTTGCAAGCACAAGCACAGCTCACTTTTTCTTCGCGTTGTGGTTCACCAGTTTTGTTTGCCTGCAGTGCAGCTTGGTGGCCAGCCAAGGCACTGGGGTGTGGAGCTGGGCTCCTGGCCAACGCGCGTGCAGAAAATACAACAAAATAGGCTTTTTGGGGTTTTTTGAAGGCTTGTATCGCATCCCATCTTTTGACCTCTGGTTGCGTTGCTCTTCCTCAGGCTTCAGTGGCATTGCCTCTGTGCAGGAGCAGTTGTCTGCTGCAGTTGGTGGCCTCACCTGCTCTTGCTGTTGGGACCAGCCCTTGCTCTCCAGCCAGATCCCATAGGCTGTGGCCATTCTTCTGTGCACGTTTTCTCATGAACCATAAAGCGGTCAGACTTCTAGGACATACGTGTATGTCTGGCACATAGCAACAAGGCTGCTTGGATGAGTCCTTCGTTTTCCAGCCTCTCGTTTCTGTTCCTAGCAAGCACTGACCCTTCCTCATCAGTCACGAGCGAGGTTAGCATTCCTGAAGGCGAAAGCCTACATAATGGTGTTTGTGCCTGATGGAAAGCAAGGCGGATTTTGTTAATGTCTTTCTGCCGTGTGGCCCAAATTAACATATTTTTTTGGAAAATGTGAAGACATTCCTCAGCATCCAGATGATCTGTTCTGAAAGCAAGAGTTTTATAAATGAGAAACCTGACTTTGGGTCACTAATTGTATCAACACAGCATCCGAGAGACTGAAATAAAGCAAGAGCTATGCAGTGTTTATATAACTATCAGTACCCAGAGGGTATTTCCAGACCCCATACCCTGAGATTTGGAGAACAGTTGAAGGCTTGGACTGTGCTTTACATTCGAGGCACTCTTCTCTGTGTGCTTTGTAAGCAAGAGCTCTGATAAGCTTTTTCCAGTTTTGGAAATTCAGACTGCGTGAGAGTGGGTTGTGTTTACATTATAGTCAAGCTGGAATGGATCCAATGTGATTTAATTTAAATGTCTTTGTTTTGGGTATAACTCGGAGTTATTTTTCAAATAGAATGATCTTTCTTTTTAAAAGCATGAAATGTTTTTTTTTTGTCCCATTCTTGTTTAAATGTAGATAACTTTATAATTGACTTTAAGCTGGGAAACTTTCCAGCAGAGTATAATTATTCTTTTCTTTTGTGTAATGTTTTTTATTAGTGCTATGAAGCTGGGCTAATGTCACAATACATAAAAACGTGGAAAAAAGGAGACGTGGTCTTTTGGCGTGGGCCGTTTGGAGGGTTCCCGTATCGACCTAATAAGGTTAGTTCCCTCGGAGACATAGGATGTTTCAGCTTGTAGCAGCCAGCTTTGTTTAGTACGCCAAGGGGAAGGCTTCAATTTGATTACTGTTTTCGTGATTATTTTAGGGACTTCCTGGGTTACTGTATGGTGCTACAGCATTAGCAGTCAGCTGGAGAAAGTGCACCTTATTGAACTGCAGAATATTTAAGAAGGAAGAAGAGAGGGAGGTAGACGAGAGACTGGAAAATATTAGCAAGGCTCTCTGTTCATCACTTGCATTAGAAGTTCCCGATGTGTGTAACAAAAGGAACTCACTTTGCACCAGCAATAAGCGTGGATCGCTTGTTGCCTCACTTGAACCACACTGCTGTTCTGTGACTGAGCATGAGCGAAGGAGAGGTGTTGATCTTCTCCCTTGGGTATTCCCTGAGTTGAAGCAGCTCCAGTGAGGTGTCGCATCACCCAGCCTCTCTGCAAATGCTGATCCCACCTGCTGATACCAGGCTTGCTGCAAAGAAAGGCAGATCCAGTTTCAGGGAAGGGCTTCTCACACATACTAATTCGATTACTTAATTCTGACCTTTCAAATGAGGAGCAAAATTGAAACACTGATCATTAAGATCCCAGAGTCTTGGATTTTTCTTTTTTCTTTTTTTCCCCTCTTCCCCCCCCCCAACAAAAATAAAGCTGTAAAATCGCAGTGGCCAAACTCCATGCAGAGCAATTGTGTTCTGCTTCCTGAAATACTTGCCCTGCTGTTCCCTTCTTTTAAAAGCTTCCAGGTAATAATCTGGGACAGAACAAGGCAGTCATGCCTAGGAGTGGCTGCACTCAGGGGCTGGCTGTGTGATCCATGGGCATGCAGTTTACAAAGCACCTGAGTGATCTGTAAAACAACTTGCTGTAGAAGAACTGTTTATTGTTTAGGAATTATAACATAGGCCCCGAATAATCATTTCATAGTAACATTTTCTTTCATCTCTATTTGCTGCCAGTAGAATAGGACTCAGACTCGGGCAGATCAGATCCATTCACAATAAACTGCTCAGTCAAAATGGAGCACAGGCAGCCTCTGAGGGTTTAATAGAGGCTTAATTCCCAGTTTTGGCATTGGTGCACTGACAGGCAGCTGAAGGAAGTGCTGGGAACCTTCGGTTCTCCTACACGCAGCACCTTACTGCCTGAACGTCCCCATTGTGAGTAGAGTGAGCGTCCCCCATTGTGGGTGGGAAGCACTATGTGCTGCTGGTAACTGATAAAAGTGAGATAATGTACCAGGAAGATACATGGGTCAGGAAGGAGGAGAAACCATTTCCTCCAGAGAACATTCAGGATTGTATTTTGCAGAATCTATCTAGGATAAACCCAGGAAACATTTCCCGTGGGAAAACACCACACAGTGGGTCAGCAAAGTGTACTGCAGAATTGAAACTGAAGTATAAAATAACTGAAATCAAGGCTAAAGTCAGGATAAATTTTTATATTTGGGTAAAATCCAGTTTTATGAGATTTGATATAGAAACCCTGAAAGTGCTGCTTGTAATCCTTTGTAGAAAAATACACTGAGATTTGAATGTACCAGTTCATGACCTTCTGATATGTTCTTTCTCGAGGGAAAAATCAGCGTGGCAGCAAGGAGGAGCTGACCATGAGGACACCCGTTTCCAGTCACCACAGCTCATGCAGAATTTTCTGTTTTGTTGTTAGCACGGAGAACTCCTCATGCTGGCGTCTGGTACTGGCCTTGCACCGATGCTTCCCATTCTCCAGTCCATAACAGATGATGAAGAGGATGAAACCTTTGTAACTCTTGTTGGCTGCTTCCGTACATTTGACAGAATTTATCTGAAACCTCTTCTCCAGGATCTGGCTCGATACTGGAACATCAGAATATTCTATGTCTTAAGCCAGGTAAATAAGTGGAGATGAAGGGTGTGTGTGAGGGTTCTGTGTGCTGGATGAGCCTCTGCCTCCTCTTTTTATTCTGTCAGCATGATCTTAATTCTTTCTAAGTCATCGAGGGTATTTTGTGATCCAATAGCTACTATTCTTAAATCTGCCTCGTGTTCTCACACTGCTACCAGTCTGGAGAATTTCAGGGAAGCAACCATTGCTGCTTGTCCCCCTTCACCTCCTTGGTAGCTGTTCTGTCGGGATGAACCCACTGATTCATAGTCACTGCTGATTTTTGTCCCCCACTTCAGCCGCTTGTCACCACACTAAACATTTGTGCAAAGAAAACTTGACTCTGGGAGACTCACAGCAAGTAAACCATTTCTTTTTCCCTGATACCAGTGCCTTAATCTGTCCTTATCTTCCATTCATTGCTCATGGCTAGACCTCTCTTCTTCTAGTATGTTAGCACCAACTTCCCAGCAATTATCTTTCCTAGCTGACCCATTTTTAAACTTCTTTAAGTTGTTTCCCCTTTTGTAAAATTACTTTTTCTGCCAAATCCATGGGATGAGGGCATACCTCTCAGTGGTCTTACATTTTGAGCAGTCTTTTCATTTCCATTTGATCCCAAAGTTGCCTGTGTTCTGCATGGATTTAGCCGTTGAAAATTACTTCCCTTAGAAATGAAGAATCATTGCAGGGAGGATATAGAAAGAATTATTTATGCTAAGGGAGTGAATCCCACTGCATTTTTAGTTTCTCAGATGAATAATTTTTTCGGATCTCTCGCGGTGGACCTGCCTCATACATTATGTTCCACGTGGCCTCGGCAAGTTGAGATTGGGGATAGAGAAAAGTACTTGTGACTTAGGCACCTCCTCAGCTGCTTTATACCGGTAATTGTCTCTGGCGACATAGCTTAAATACCCTTTTCAGGACAGTGCTGTCTCAAGAGTGTGAGGAGGTCTTGAAATTCAATCAGTGAAGGGCAAGAAACCCACCTGACCCCTGTCAGCACCGTCTGCCCCGTGTGTGCATCTCTCCCGTTCGTCTCTTCTCTTAGCACGTGTGTTGTGGTTCAGTCCTGGCTCGTGCATCATCCCTTTCAGGATTGGATATCTGTCTGCCTCAGTATTTCACTCTGCTGCCTGTCACCATCTGAGCACCTTCTGCTTCTAATTAATAGCAGTAGGGGAGTCCCTACTGGCTCTAATGCTGTGGGATGTGGCATTTCTCTTGGGATCACAGCTGTGTTTGGAGCAGGGCTGGCTTCTTTCAGTTTTGGTCGAGGGAGATGGGACTGAAAGAGGCCTGGGAATGGGAGAGGCAGTAGAGAGGAGTAGACTTGGGACTTAGGATTTGGGCACGCTGGGAAGTGGTTCTCCAAGGAGGAGGTTCTGCAGCATTTGTTAGCGATAGTTATGCTCTGGTTTTGTTCAGTCCCCTCTGAATGGCCAGGTCCCATGGCAAGGAAAGATTTGATCTGGGCTTTGAAGAGGAATGCAGCTCTTGGGAAGTGTCAGTTCTACTCAAGTGGAGTTGCAAGGGTGAAAAATGTCCAGTGGAGGAGGAAGGAGATTCGACAGTAAGCAATCAGTTGGCCTTTTTAATGTGCCACACTGCAAACCTTTTGCCTTTTCAGGAAACTTCACTGGAAACACTTCCTTGGAGCTATCGGGAAAACACGTACGTTGGTCGTCTCAGTGAAGACTTGATGAAGACGATAATAAGTTCCTGTCGAAGAAAGCCGTTTGTATTAATCTGTGGCTCTGCTGCATTCAATGAAGATATGAGTAGATACTTGAAAGCTGCAGGAGTTGAAGAAAATTCCTGTTTTGTCTTTTAGCAGGCTCTTCCTGACCTGAGGAAACTTGGATGAGCCTTGGGTGTCCTTGTTTCTGTGCAGACACTGCTCAAAACTGGTCATCTCGATAGGCTGAGTTTCTTGTGCGTGTACTTTCATAGGTCTTTGGATCAAATATTTGTCTCCAGTATGATTCCCACTCTTGAGAGTGTTTTAAGGATCAGGTGCTGCTGCAGAGTGGCTGCTGTAATCACCCACACCTCAGGGAACAGCACATGAATGTTAATGGCCGTCTTCATGTGCAATTTTAAGAGGGAGATCTCTTAGGCATCCAAAAAAGCTTCCAAATAGAGTTCTGCTGTAATATGAAGACCAGTGACTTGCTTTGTGATCTGTGTTACTCTGCAGTGGCCTGGTGCTCTGGAGTCCATGATTTTGGTTGTGTCATTATCTTGCAGGGTGATGCCAGGCAAGTCACTTCAACCTCTCTGTGCCTCAGTTTCCCTGTTATACACTAACATAGAGGAGAAGATACTGATCTCTGAAAGGAGCCTTTCCAACCACGGTCCCCAAGTGTTGTATAGTAGCCCTGGCTCATTAAACTGATTGTCTTTATCAATTATACAGCTGTTTCTTTTTGCCACAAGACTCTCAGAGGTGCCCAAGAAGTGCTCCAAGCATACAAGAACGCTGCCTGAGGAGCGAAAGCTTCACAGGGCTTTGCTGGGGTGCTCCCCTGTGGGGCAGGGGGCAGAGCCAAGGGCCTGCCCTGAGGCATGGCAGCCTCACAACTGCCCTGACACAGCACCCAGCCTGGACACCTTGGCCCCTTCCTCCTATTTCAGTCTAAGATGCTGCTGCCTTTCCTCTGAGATACCCCCCGTCTGCTCTTTTACCATCTGAGACCACTGTGCTTACTAACTCCACCTGGACATACAGCCTTTCTGCACACCCTTGTGTCTTTCCATTCATTCCCAGCTCATCCTGTGTTGAGGTTTCACAGGCTGTGAGAGGTGATGTTGCATTGTTTGTTGCATGCCTCATTTTTTAGCTGTATCAAATAGTACACGTTACACAGAGGAGATGTAGTTTGAGTTACTCAAAATAAGCAGTGTACACGAAAATGATGGCTCTGATTCACATGTTTGAGGGGAGGAAGTGTAGGGTTCCCCTTGCATTGGTGAGATTTGTCTCCAGTTATCAAACACCTGGAATTAATCCTGTGTAGCTGTAGCTTTTATGTTAACTCCATCAGAGCCAAGGCTGACAAGTGCTATTTGTGACCCAAAACAGGGTTCTGGCTTTTAATGCAGAGCGATCCAGGGAAGTTGTCCACGTTCAGTCCAAGGTAAGCTCTTGACTCCCATCCGAACTGTGTTTTAGCCACTGTAAACCTCATGTGTGATGGAAGTGCTTCTGTGCAGTATGAGACTGACAAAATAAGCAGTTGCTTTTGCCGGTTCCTCTCCCTACTTTGGCCTTAGCTGGGAACATAGAGAAAATATTTTCCTCTAATATTACACACTCTGAAAACCTTACTTGCGTACCTCTTGCTTTAAATATTTTGCCTTTCTGAGACGTTGCGAAAATCCACCTAGCCCTTTTGTGAAGGCCTGAGCTAAAACTTCGCGCTCGCTTTGGGAAAAGCGATGACTTTCTGCGCGAAAGCCGGGGCTGTTCCTTTAAGCGCAACCCCAATATGTCTGGGTATTTCAGCACATATGGGCCACGATGGTTAAACCTTACCCAGCTGGTCCAGCCGTTCTGCCGCGAAGCCTCCCGTCTTTGTTCGTGGCTGAAAGGGAGGGTGGTGAGAGACGGAGCAGGCTGTGAGTGCTGCGGGTTGCAATCCTGCAAAGGCGACCGCACGCAGAGCGGGAGGAGGTGACGCCTGCCACACGCCGGAGGGGACGGGGGTCTTTGCGAGACGCTCTCCATGGGGAAGGCGATATCCTTGGATGTAGTAGCTCGAAGGGGCTTTTAAACTGCCTGTGGGCACTTTGTTCTCTATTTTCTGCCCTTCTCTCCCTTCCCCCTCCTGCCTTTTGTAATTTCTGAGGCTGACTGGCACAGAAGTCCCCTCTTCCCATCTAGTCCTCTGTGGGGACAGCCCCTTTCAGAGGCTTGTGACATGGATGGAAAGGCTTCGGGCAGGATTTTCTCTACCAAGGGAAGAGGAGAGGTTTTCTTCCCTTTGGAGACCCACTAACTACCCTGCAGTGGCAGTTTCATAGGGAAATGGTGGCGATGCTGTGGTTTCTGGGGGGATCTGTGGAGCTGGAGGTGCCTGAGCTCCCTGCAGTGCTGGGTGACTGATGCCAGGGCAGGGCAGGGGCTTGCACCCTGCATCTCCTGCCAGGGCCGGGGGGTGCTTGTGGGATGCTCCTACGCTCCAGGAAGGCCCCGCCACCCATGCAGTGCTGTGGCGGTGAGGGGGCTTTGCTTCCTTTCTTCCTCATGTGCAGCCTAAATACCTCCTTAATTTCATCTCATTATTTCCTGCCTAAATAATTCCCGTTTCTCCTGGGGACCACATTTAAACCTTTGATCTTCTCTGAAGTCTCACAGTCCTGATCACATCCCTTCTATTTAAATGACTCAAATGTCTTTTTGACTCATGATTTATAAATTTGCCCACAGAGGAGCAGGGGTGGCCCCGATACGGCACACCTCGAAAGCACCCAAGCCGAAGCACCTTTGGGCTCATCCAAAGCACCTCCGTTCAGACCTCTGTGCTGAAGGACCTGCCTGGCTCCTGTGCCACATCTCTTCCTTCCCCCTGCCTCCCTCCGCCCTCCCACCAGCCGGGATCGGCTGTCCCCAGGTCAGGAGAAGGGTGAATGTGCTGGAGGTGATGGATGCTGTCTCCAGGGAGTCGGGGCACAGCTGCTGTGCAGCACAGCCCCGGCCCCCTGTCTCCTGGGGGGTATCACTGATGCACGGCACGAAGAGGGGCTGCAGAGTGCAGCTGGAGGGATGGAGAAGAGCGGCTGCGTAGGTACCAGTGTCGTGGATGCTGGGAGATGCCTCGGTGCCTTGGCCGGTGGTGAAAGGGCTGGAGGATGATGGGTGTTGCCAGAGACGGATGTGGTGAGGATGAACACGATGTGTCGTGCAGTGATGGAGAAGCCAAGGTTGTCCCTGGGTCGGGGAGGCTAAGCTGAGGCTGTGGTTGTGGAAATATCCAGGAGAGCCTCTGCACCATGGATTGCGGTGCCAGACCTTTCCTGCCTCTCTGCTGCTGGCACTGGCCTCACATGTGTTGTACAAGGCATGGGGACAGATCTCCTCTCCGAGCCCATGAGGGAAGCAGCTAATTAAGCTCTCCTGCACTGGAGCAGGAGCTTTGCACTTCACCCCAGGACAGGGAGGGCTACCTCGTATCTCCTCATTCGAATGTGCGCTTGCTCCTGGGGTGACGTGGTGTCCGACACCCCAGGATAGGGACCCCTACGTCTCCCTCCTGGGCTGGGCTCGGGACAGAGGGCTCCTGGTGGGATGCCCCAGTGCTCCCTCCAGCCCTCAGCATGGCTCCAGCAAGGCCGGGCAGTGGGGAGAGAGCCTGTACAAATATTATTGTTGTTATTATCACCCATAAATATATGCAGGCACTTAACGACCTTGGCATGGAGCATTTCCTGGGAATTAATGACCAGTTGGCTTTAATGGTCCTTAGCTGCACCTCGGGCCATCAGCTCCTCCCAGCCCATCATTAATCCACAGGAAATGTCTCAGGCATTGATCCTCATTGCTTAATTAATAAATGCAACTTGTCTCCCTGCCCGAGATTTACAGATACTCGCTCCTTCTTGCCCCACGGCTTTGAAGGTGACTTTTTTAGCACAGGTCCCTCATGCCAGGAGGCCCTTTTTTGTTTCCTCCATTCATCTGGGTGTGGGTTATGGCAGCAGGAAAGTCTTTTCCCTCCTGGGCAGGAGGGAAGGAACCGAAACATGGCTGGGTTTGGGGTTTCTCCAGCTGATGTGACACAGCACGGAGAGTGCAGCTTCATTACCTTCAGCCGAGCGCATCCAAGAGCCTGGGCGAGAAGGAGCGCGAGCCACTGCGGAAGAACATGGCAATTCTCCAAGGCCTTAGCACGTCCTATAATAATCAATGTTTTTTTGCCCGTGAGTCACAATTCATCTCTAATCTTCCTCGGGGGAGGTGGGATTTGCTATCTTTAGTGCTCACAACTGTCGCTTTCCCGGGCTGAGCATCCCGCTGAGCCAGGGCACTTGCTGCAGGGATGCTGACCTGGCAGCTGACACGGAGACGCGGCTGCGTTTAAATCCCCATCCCTGTTTCTCTAGCCTTTACCACCGGTTGGCTTTGTGCAGTGGGTGCTGCAGTATAAATCACGTTAATTCCTGAGGTGCTTTTTCCGTGGTAAGTCTGAAATTCCCATTTTGGTTCGCTGGCTCGCCTGGTGAACTAAATTATTTTCATAGCCCCTTAAGGGCATATTGTCAGCCCAGACTTACTGCCATTATACGCCGTATCTGAAACATTAATATCTCTTCTAAATATAGTGTATTGACAAGGTATCTGGTATAGTGTAAATCCTTGGGACATTTGATCCAGATCATTAAAACTGAGTGAAGGAAGGGAGGAATAGATCAAGTTACCTTGCCGCTCTTAATTCAAACAAGCGATGAATTATTCATTCTGCTATTAATTCTACAGTCCTCCTGCTTTTTATTTATTTCTCTCTTTATTTTTTTTTTCCCCTCTCGGATAGACAGCACAAAAAGGATGCTCGGGCACCGGTGAGGGGAGATTTGCTCTGCTGGAGGATGGGGTGCACAGGGCCAGGCTGCCTGGCAGCGCTGGCCCTGCTGTGTGGGGCTCTCGGGGATGCTCCCAGCAGAGGTAAGAGGCTCCCAGTGGGCACCCCGAGGCTGATGAACATCCATGGTCCCCAGGGAGGAGAGGGCTGTTTGTGGGTGCTCTGGGATGTGAGTGGGTCCCAGTTCTCAGCCCCTGCAGGGAGAGGGGCAGGCTCAGGCCAGGGAGAAAGGAGCTGGGATCTGCAGTCGCTG